ATGAATCAATTGTTTGGGTAACTGTAGGCTGGCATTAGAAGGTGCAAGGGCCATTGTTGACATCCTCTAGTCTCTTCCATATGCCTTTGTACATGCTATTGTCTTATGTTACATTGTCTACCTGGTTTTGACCTCTGCTCTTGTCTGACTACCTTCCGTGGGGGGGGCACAGTGATTATTGTTAGCGGATAACAGGCACTAGCAATATTTGCATGTAAAATCCGGCAGGCTGGTTGTACCCAAGTTGCCCATACATGGTTTGGCTGGTTCAGCAGGATTCAAATATCTAAGGCAGGCGTTAGGCTGGCCAGAGATGTTTAGATTTGTTTTTTTTAACAGCCTGCTGATAGAAAAAAAAAATGGATTCCCCCATCCACACATTCGAGGTGGACATGGAAAATCTCTCTGCTGCTCTATTGTATTGTGACAATGGGGACTTCTCTATTGCCAGAATACACTGATCAGGGCTGCATCTGATTAGCTGCATGAGCTGATCCAACACAAATTTTCCAACTGTCCTGTTTGAGAGGATTTGATCATTATGTTGACTCTTCTCGAAAGGGAATGGCCATATATGGATCAAAATTTGGCCGGTCCCTGCTGTAATGACTGAATTTCGATCCATCTATGGCCAGCTTAAGCGCCTGTCTCTTAGAGTATCTTGCTGGTTCTCACAGTTAGTTAATTAAATCACATTTATTTTAAGGAAAAATATCTATTTTTACAGATATACTTTAGTCCAGCAAGCTCTTGAAATGTCATAGCAGGTCCTGCTGTTGTCTACTGAAAAGCTGTGGGAGTTTTCTATCTTGTTTGATTTCATTACCGCTGAAATAATAAGACTACAGTCAGTACATTACATATGAAAAAAATAGATATATCGCTTAAGTAATAATTTTTTCAATAAATAGATAATAGAGAAGGGCTGTAAGAACAGTACATTATATTAATACATACTGTACACTGCATGTTTCTGCACATTAAAACATTCTTCATAGCTAACAACATTTTAAGGTTATTTCCAGGGACACTAACACTGAGCTAGATGAGTCTCAGCCCACAGTGTGAGAACACAAAAAGTGTTAAAGCAAAACTTTGGAAATCACAAAAAAAAAAAAACCCTTGCAGTGGGCCCATCTCCAGCACTACAAGGGTTTAATGCTCGTTATGCCTAGGGGGTAGGGGAAAATCTGTAATACTTACCTCATTCCTTGCCCCTCTTGCCAGCACTTTTCTCTTCTCTCCAATGCTCTAGGCTACAGGCAGGTCCTCACCATCCTGACCTACAGTTCAGGGCTGTTGGCTCTGCATTGTATGTGATTACGTCAGTATGCAACCGTTGACCAGGGCCCCTTAGAGAAGAGCAAATTGGTCGTATAGTGTCCAAATTAATATAGGGAGCCGGCAACTTGAAACACACATGAAAATCTTTATTTGCCAGAGTGATAACAGGTAAGAACAACTACAACTATTCTGCTTACACCAAAAATAGGGGGAAGGGGGAAATAGGAAAGCTGGGGAGTCCACATACAATCACAATACATGTAATTGAGGTGCCACCAGAATATTTGGATGCCACCTAACCAACCAGCAAAAAAAACAAAGAAAAAAAAGAAAAAAGGCTGCACTAGTTGGCTAACCTCAAGTAAAGTTTATTGTACAACAAACACAGAATATGACATCGGAGTTATGGTATACAAATCCAATATCACAAGGGCCTCCAACCCCCGAAGGAAAGAAGACCCTCCTAGTAGGACATCAAAAGATGGAAGAGGTGTCCACTGGGTCTAAACTGCCCCGGATTCAGTGGGTAGTTGGGAGTGGTTGGTAAGGTGGGGGGTGGATGGGGTTGGTTCCCAGGGGCATTTTCACCATTGGGGCAGTTTATACCCAGTGGACACCTCTTCCATCTTTTTATGTCCCACTAGGAGGGTCCCCTTTCCTTCGGGGGTTGGTGGCCCTTGTGATGTTGGATTTGTATACCGTATATCCGATGTCATATTCTGTGTTTGTTGTACAATAAACTTAACTTGAGGTTAGCCAACTAGGTGTGCAGCCTTTTTTCTTTGTTTTTTGTTCTGCTTACACACCTAAGCACTGAAAGTGTGCTCTCTATAACTTTTCCAGTATGATGAGAAGTTACAGCCTCAGTAGCTTGGCAAACAATGGGTCACTCCAAATGAATTGCTGCAGATCATAGAAAGCTTTAATCCAAACTTGTGAATATCATGCAGATGAGTATCTGATGAAAATCATGGCGTTTGTATAGCTCCAGTGGGATACAGTACATATGGTGAATGAAAATAGAGACTGAGTTTGAAAGAGAAGGGAGGGATTAACTACATAGAACATGCTCTAACTACGAGTGCAGTAAGGGCAAACACACAGACAATGCATGTGTAACATGATGCTAACCATCTTACAGGGGACACACCTCCCACATCTGAAAAATCTTTTTTGGTTCAAAATTTGGACCTTTTTTTGGTGGGTGGGGTTAGAAAATGTAGTGTATTAACTTATTTCTTAGGGTAGGTGCTCTTCTGTAAACAAGCCTTTTTTTTGTTGGTTTTTATTTTAGTTTTTTACTGTTCGTATGGGCCAATGCTTCTTTATACTTTTTTTTAAGGGCCCAATACTGTAGGTTGAAATCTGTGATGAATACCACACCGTAATCCTTGTTTGGTTGTTCCTTACCCTGCAACGTCTTTTCTCTATTCATGTGTTTTATCAGTTGTTTAGTTCTATCAAGAACCTCTTTCTTGTAACCCTTATTCTTGAATCTCTCCATCAGAATTTAAGCTCAAGACTCCAAATCACTGTCACAATTGCAGCCCCCCCTGAAACACATTAATTATCCTTTTGGAATGCCCCTGTGGCCTTTCAGACTCCTGTGGCCGCATGGGAGCCCCATAGCACATGGCTTACTATGGGGGGCACCTGTAGGAAAAAGGTGTGGACAGCGCTGAGAGGGACCACCATAAAAGAGGTAAGTGACCACTGTGCAATATCGTTGCAGAGAGCAGGTAAGTATAACCAATGTATTTTAATAGTAAAAAACTTTAGCCTTTAATAATGCTATAATAACTTCCAGTTCCACTTCCCCTGGATATACCCTTTAACACAGCGGTTCTCAACCTGTGGGTCGCGACCCCTTTGGGGTTCTCAACCTGGGGGTCGAATGACCCTTTCACAGGGGTCGCCTAAGACCATCGAAAAAACACATATTTCCGATGGTCTTAGGAACTGAGACCTCGCTCCTCTATCTGTCTCCAGGCAGGTCCGCACACATACGAGTACCCGGCGTGATGTCATCATTGCGCCAACCCCATCACATACACCCCGTACAAATACAGGAGTATGTGACAGGGTTGGCGCCATAATGTACTTATTATTATTATACAGTATTTATATAGCGCCAAAGGGTATGCTCAGCGCTGTACAGTAGCAAGGGGGACAGAACATGAGACAAGACAGTAACAATACAATACACGAGGAGCCTGCTCTTTCGAGCTTACAATCTAGGAAGGAGGGGAAGGTAGTACAGGAGGAGATGGCTGTGGGGGATGGAGTGGTGGGAGGAGTGGAGGGGGTTAGTTGTTAGGTGAGGTCAGGTGTTAGGTGAGGTTGGGGTAGGCTTCCCTGAAGAGGAGGGTTTTCAGGGTGCGCCTGAAGGTGAGGAGGGTAGGTGACAGTCTGATGGATTGGGGTAGGGAGTTCCAGAGGATGGGGGAAGTCCTAGAGAAGTCCTGCAATCAGGCGTGGGAGGAGGAGACCAGGGAGCTAGAGAGTAGGAGGTCCTGTGAGGAGCGGAGGGCACGGGTAGGGCAGTATTTAGGTATCAGGTCAGTTATGTAGTTTGGGGCGGCGTTGTGAATGGCTTTGTAGGTCAGAGTTAGCAGTTTGAATTTGATGCGTTGGGCAATCAGGAGCCAATGAAGGGATTGGCAGAGGGGGGAGGCAGATGTGGAGCGGTTGGTGAGGTGGATGAGTCTCGCTGCTGAGTTTAGGATCGACTGGAGTGGGGATAGCGTTTGTTTGGGTAGGCCAGTGAGAAGGGAGTTGCAGTAGTCCAGGCGTGAGATGATGAGGGAGTGTACGAGTTGTTTGGTGGTGTCTGGGGTGAGGAATGTGCGTATCTTGGAGATGTTGCGGAGGTGGAGCCTGCAAGATCTAGATAGCAGTTGGATGTGGGGTAGGAAGGAGAGGTGGGAGTCCAGGGTGACACCCAGGACTTTGGCGTGTGGGGTGGGAGAGATGGTGGCGTTGTTAGTAGTGATGGACAGGATGGGACCAGTCACACATGTGTAAAGCGCAGCTACTGTGTAGAAAGCAGCTACTGTGTTGAAAGCAGCTACTGTGTTGAAAGCAGCAGTATTGGAGGTAAAACGACACTTCATGAATTATAATTACTGGGTAAATGTAAAATTATGAAGTAGCAACAAAAATAATTTTATGTTTGGGGGGGTCACCACAACATGAGGAACTGTATTAAAGGGTCGCGGAATTAGGAAGGTTGAGAACCACTGCTTTAACAGGACAACAAGAAGCTTCAGACCCTAGGCTTATTATAAGTTCATAAAATTGTATTTTCTTCCAAAAGCTTGCATTTGAAATATGGTTGCGCAAATATTGTGTGACATAAAAAATGTCAACACCCATCATTTTATTCTCTAGGGTCTTTGCTTAACTGCTTCTCACCCGCCATTTAAGAAAATGATGGACGGGCGGTGGTTCTCTTGTTCTGGGAGGACATCATATGATGTCCTCCTACTCTAACTGCGTGTGCGCCCCCCGGGGGTGCGCAGTGCGGCGATCGGTTGTGCTCTGGGTCCCTGGGACGCAGTGGATCACCGATCAGTGGAAAGAGCCGATGACCTCAGCTTTGTCATGTGATCAGCTGTGTCCAATCACAGCTGATCGCATGTAAATAAGGAAATTCCGGTTATCGACATTCCTCTCCTCACCAGCTGTCACACTGACAGGGGACATCTACACTAATCATCAGTGCCACCTGTCAGTGCCCATCAATTGGTATGCCATTTCCGGTACGAGGTGACGCACTTCTGGGCGCAGCGGCCATATTGCTATACCCAGTAACCATGCAGTACACCCATAGGATGTGGTGACAGGCGTTTCTTACTGGGAATACATGTGAGTGAAATATCAAGTTTATTCACTTTCAATAAAAAAGATTACTGCACTATGGAAGGATCATTGCTTTGTATCTCATGTATGTGGCCTTAAGTGGAGGTGGAGTGGATAAGGTGCGCTTGGGAGAAGTCTATATTCAATCCCATGGTCCCTGTTATGAGGAACGGAATTGAGAGGATCTGGTATTGATAATCATAGCCTTTTGGCTCTGTGCGGGTCAATGTGTGGAGGTGAGCAGGCATTGCTGCCATTTGAGGATCTCTTTTCTTTTTCACTGCAGTGAAGATCACTTTGGCACAGTTTCACTTGCATGGACTTTATGTTTCAAAATTACACAGATTTTTTTGATTATTTAATGTTTATTTTCATATACAGTGTGTTTATACTAGATGTTGATAAACCAGCACGGGATGGGATTCCCCTTCTTTTAAGAACCACTATCACAATTTTTTGGATCTTACACATTATATAGCACGAGAGTATTGCACATGTGTTAGATTTGATTTATAGTGCTTCACTATATATTTTTATTCAGTGCCCATCAATGCCACCTGTCAGTGCCCATCAGTGCACATTAATGCCACATATCAGTGCCTACCAGTGCACATCAATGTCACATATCAGTGCCCATCTGAGCTGCCTTTCAGTGCCAACTATCAGTGTCAGTCAGTGCCACCTGTCAGTGCCACCTATGAGTGTTGCCAATCAGTGCCACCTATCAGTGCCAGTCAGTGCCTCCTATCAGTGCCCATGAGTGCCGCCTATCAGTGCCTGTCAGTGCCGCCTAACAATTCCAGTCAGTGCCGCCTATCAGTGCCAGTCAGTGCCAGTCAGTGTAGCTTATCAGTGCCGCCTATCAGTGCCATATATGAGTACTGCCCTTCAGTGCCCATCAGTGATGTCTGTCAATGCCTATCAGTGCCACCTACCAGTGCCTCCTCATCAGTGCCCATCGGTGCAGCCTATCAGTGTCCATCACTGCAGCCTCATTAGCGCACATCAGTGAAGGAGAAAAATTACTCATTTACAAAATTTTATAACAGAAACTAAGTGAAAAACTTTTTTTTTTCCAAAATGTTCAGTTGTTTTTGGTTTGTTTAGCAAAAAAAACCCCAGAGTTGATTAAATACAGCCAAAAGAAATCTCTATCTGTCTCAAAAAAATGATAAAAAATGTCATATGGGTACAGTGTTGCATGACCGCACAATTGTCATTCAAAGTGTGACAGCGCTGAAAGCTGAAAATTGGCCTGGGCAGGAAGGGGGGTGAAAGTGCTCAGTAGACAAGAGGTTAAAAGACATGCACTCACAGGCCATTTTATTAGGTACACCTTGCTAGTGTCAAGAAAATATCCCCCACACCATTTTTTTCATTACACCACCAGCCTGAACCATTGATACAAGGTAAGATGGAACCATGCCTTCATGTTGTTTAGCCCGAATTCTGGCCCTACAATCTGAAAGCCGGAGCAAGCAGTCAGCCCATTCTCCACTGGCCTCTGACATCAACAGACATTTTTGGCCACACAACTGCCACTCACTGGATATTTTTTTCGGATCCTTCTCTGTAAACCCTATAGATAGTTGTGTATGAAAATCCCAGTAGATCAGCAATTTTTGAAATAGTCAGACCAGCCCGTCTGGCACCTACAAACATGCCACATTCAAAGTCACATAAATCCCCTTTCTTCCCCATTCTGATGCTCAGTTTGAACTTCAGCAAGTCGCCTTCACCACATCTAGATACCTAAATGCATTGAGTTGCTACCATGTGATTGGCTGATTTGCAATTTGTGTTACCAAACAATTGAACAGGTGTATCTATTAAAGTGGCCGGTGAGTGTATATAATGGCTGGGGGTAATTTTCTAGCAAGAAAAAATGATGATTTTTACATGTAGGAGAGAAATGTCAGAATTGGCCTGGTAGGCAAGTGGTTAAAATATTGACAGAAAGTGTTAAAAAGATCATATGGTTCAAATCTGCCATGCTAAAGCTGGAACAGAAAATTCCTGGGAAATGCCAAACTTTGGTGCTGTGCCTTGAAAATGCAGCAACTGGTCAATTCTGTATATACAGAGCAGTATCAAAAAAATATATTGGAAAGGTGCGTTACTCGAAGCACAGGGCTTCCACCGTCTGCTGGTAACAAGTTGTATGAGCTGGTCCTGACCAATAATATGAGAGGGTGGGACAGTGCACAATATGAGTTCTACTATCACAGTCCATGGACTGCACAGGCTGCCCACCTCACTGCTAGAGGCATGCCGTATGTAGAGTGCAAGCACTGGGGAGGGTGCAGACAATGCACTGAGTGCACACACTTCTCTATCAGGAATTCCTGCAGCTGATCCAGCATCTTCCTCCAGGAGTCATGGAAGAGAATAAAGGCTTTCTTTCCTGCACGCAAAGCAGCGGGATTAGCCTGGGAATCATGGAAACAGTGTATGATCTGCGAGAGGACAATGACACAAGTTACAATGGGATTCTCTGCGAGATCACAAACAGTGGAGCTATCATCAGCTGTCTGGGGGACTACTCACACAATGCAACTCTCCCTGCCAAAGGTATGTACTGACTCTCAGAAACTGCAAGGAAAACTAAATTGGGGCTTTATAGTGCAGAGGAAGCTTTAGCAGTCACTGCTGGGACTTGTAGTACCACACATCCTTACTTTGGCGTAAAGGGCTCTTGCATACTTGAGCATGCGTTAATGCTTGCGTATTTGTGCGTTAAGGCAAACTATTAATTTTGAGCAGGGTGGCAGCTCACCTTAACGCAAACAAAAAAATGCACCTGCCATTCTGTAAATGAATGTTAGTTCTGCAATGTACAAAGTAACATGCGTGGCAGCAAAAGAGGGCATTTTACCCCTTGTTACCAAAAAGCGTAGTTGTGAAGACTTAGCCCCTGCTCGATTATACTTGCGTTGGTCAATTCGTGACAATGCATGACAAGAGGATGACTGTTATTTTCTATGTGGCCCATTTACACTTATGTGTTTCTCTTCTGTGCGTTTTTTTTTTTTTTTGGTACAACAATTTGTTTTTGACCCCATAGACTTCAATGGGAGCGCATAAAAAATGCACAAGAATGCAGATGCACAAGTGTGAACCTAACATCTGTAAGAAAGTAAACTGTGGCTGCTGTCTATAATGTCCCAGTTTCCCAGTGTAGATCCACAATGAAAGCTCAAAACCTGTTATGGGCAGCAGCCAGCATTCACTTTTCTCCAGTTTTTTTAAACTGATTACCTTGTATCTACATAGATTTCTTTTTATGTTTTAGATAGATATGTGATTGTAATTGTCTTAATTGAAACCACTACTGAGTGATAATGGAAACCTATACTGAGTGAAATGTGGCTGTCATTATTTCTGAAAATGCTAGTTGCCTGGCTGTAATGGCTTCAATACACCCTGAGTATACAGACCCGATGTTACCATTCCAGTCAGATTGGCTGCGTACTTAATGATGCCAAAAAAACAGCCAGCCATCTAGCATTTCTAAAAGGCAGCAATGATTGCCCATATGTTTCTCTTAGTACAGATTTATGTTAATATAAATATACAACTTAAAAAAACTTGCTACTTTGTTGTAACTATATATTTACATAGGGGCAGCCATATTTGTATATTTAATATGCAGGCTCTGCTTCCTGTTTAGTAGTGCTGCACAATGACCATTTTTCTTCTCCTGTCCTAAAGTATATGCAAACCCTCACCTTGTAAAACACTCATTTTGTTTCAAATAGGAATGAAAGGCAAAACAGTTGTTTATAGATAGAAGAAAAAATTAAATCCCCTTTTTCTCTGCTTTATAAGTGATCACATACTCTCTAAGTTCCTTATGCAGCTGAGAACAGAGAGCTACAGGAAGAGAAACAGCAGCACACTGGTCTTTCCGGTGAATGGCTGTGCAGAAGGGGAGGGGGCGGGTGTTAACACCAGACTGATCATTGGAGAGCAGGCTGAATTCCAGCACAGCTAGAAAACTGACCATACTGTGCTCTCATGCCTAGTGTGGTCAGTTTTAATAGAAACGCAGAGGGACTGGCAGGACCACAAGAGATTTCAAACAAAGGAAGCAATATAAAGAGAACAGAATATTTTTTCATACAAGTACATGGTACAGCAGACACATCAGAAATATGAAATGTTGGGTTTACATACTCTTTACAACAGTATTAAAACACAAAGCAACAATTTATTATATTGCAGTTTATCAATTCATAGATATAATGTTTGAACTCATTTTCTTTTTAAGGCTTTACTATTTTCATCTGGTGACCGAGCCAGCAAGTCTGTTGTTTTTCAAAAGCTCTAGCTCTCCAGCAGAATATATCAATTACAACAATAGATGAGACAAACCACTTAACACTGGCAGGGGTGGTTAAAATGATCAGCTTTCATTTATTCATGTAAACCCTTTATCCCAACAGGAAAAAAACTGTTTGCTGTAACTCATTATAAAGTGTGAACTGGTGTTTGGCTTCAATTAGTTACTGTTTTTAAATCTGCTAATACATTTACCCTCCCCCCCCAGACTGTCAATGCTGAAGCCTGATGCGCCTCCTGTGCTCTTTCATCCAGAGTTGTGTCTCACTCATACAGGTGTATTACTGGCCAGATCACCAGGTGAAAACAGAGGAAAAACGCCAAATAAAATAAAACTGATGCAGCCACCACATCTATTGATTGGTGAGCTGCAGTATATTATATTTTTGAGTTTGGGTTTATTATTGCTTTAAAGTATAAGTAAAGGCAAACCTTTAGTTTAGTTTTTAGATAGATTAGAATATCTGTCAATTTGTAGTGCTGTCTGTATCCCCAATGGTGACGGTCATGCCTCTGTTTGTCCTGTTTACCATTATCACTGAGAAAGTAGAGGGGAGATCTTCCAATAGGTGCACTAGTTCTGGTGACAACCAGGGATTCATTCACTTTGCAGGAATTTCTGTTCACTTTCTATTTTGGCTACAGGACAGGAAGTGAAGGGAAATCTTCCCAAACGGACACAGAACTATAGTTATAACCATCCCTTACTCCTGTCCAAAATGGAAAAAGTCTAAAGGTTGTACATGAATAGATGTCTAATAAATGTCCTCCATCCACACTACACCACCTGCAGGCCTCTGAATACCAGAACAGCGACTGAATCTGATTGGGCAATTTTCCATCCAACTCCTTAGATTTTTCAGTTCAAGTTCTACATTTCACCTGATTCAGCAAGAATCAGCTTAAGGATCAGGTCTTCCTATCTCAGTAGCTCTTGACCCATTCGCTGCCATAGACTTTTTGAATTTTTTTTGCAAACGTTTAAAAAAATTATTTTAGGCCTGAAGATTGCATAACCCTCAAAATATTATATATTTTCCTAAAGCAGACACCCTAGAGAATAAAATAGTGGTAGTTACAACTTTCTATGCCACATGATATTATTGTAAAGGTCTAGGAAACGTAAAATTTCAGTAAAAAATACACTAAATTCAGGGCTTTTTTTCTCAGAGAATAGGTGCAGGAACTGCCCCCCTTTGAGTCGCCGTTTATCTCCGCCCCCTACCCACCTCCGTGCACCATCCCTTGGTTCCATCCCCTACCCACCTCCCAGTATAGCCCCTTTTAAGTAGTTTGTATGCAATTTGTTAAGGATAGCAAGAAAAGCAGTAAAATAGATCTCTTGCAGCCAGCAACAATAGACCCCCCAGTAACAACAGACCCTTCAGCAACAATAGATCCTCCAAAACAATAGACCTCCCGAGCATCAATGGACCTCCCGCAACAAAACACCACCG